AGTTCAAGTTTTAAGAGGTGGAAACATGCACAATTGACTCTTGATGATTGCTAAATTTTGGAAGAATTTAAAAATGAAAATAATATTAAGATTATTGAAGAAATTAAGAGTCATAAAGATATTAGAGAAGATAAATGACTTATACTTGAAGCAAACATAGTAACCCTAATTAAACCCCGATCAGTATCTGAGAGGAATGATTAATTCTATAAACTATATGGCGGGATAATGAATGTAACCCTAAGTGAATTAATTCCAAGATTGATAGTGAAGTGTAACATCAAAAGAACACATGGAGTCTGACTAAGGCTATAATACAACCTTGTGTGGTTGAAATCCTTTTGGCAAAATACAAACTTGAACACATAGGGAGTTGAAATAATTTAAGAAAGGGTATATGATTTAAATGGAGACCTTGGATAAATGTAAATTTGAGGGGACCAATTTTTTTAAAGGAGGAAGGTTGTAATGACCCGAAAAATAATAACTATCCCAAGGTAAAAAAATTTAAAGACATATATAATTTTTGTGAATATTTTAATAAACATAGTTTCTGGAGCTCTCTGAAATAGATCATGACATTTAGGGATGTTAAAATCAATTTTCAAAAAAGTAATAACACAATCATAAGAGAAAAGTTATATAAGGTCAAACTGAAAAAAGATTCATGAAATGGGGGAAATTTTGTAATTTAAAAAGGACTAAATTGAAGAGAATTTCACAAATGGGGGGAATACTAAAAAAATTAAAATGTGTGACACCTAAGTCGGCAAGGCACCTGAAAAAGGCCAACTAGATGCAGCCATTGAACGCGCGCAACAGGCAGATGGAAACTAATGGCAATGATCGAGCCATGTAGGTGATAGGGTGGAAGATCAAGTAAAAAGAATTTTAATGGAGACGAATGGGTGGGATCGAGCCACGTCGAGAGGAATGGTCGAGATTCAAAGATGCACGTGAAAAGATAAAAATGCTTGTAATCACACACTTCCAAAGGCTCATATTCACCCTAATGATCGAATAGCTCTCGATAACCCTATAAATGTACTCTTTTCTTGACTCCCTCGGGTAGAAAGAGCTAGAGAGGGAGAGGGGTCAACGCGAGAGAAAGAGAGATCAACAAGTAAAGGGAAGATTTAGCGTCGAGAAAGAGAGGGAGAGGGGTCTGCGCGAGAAGAGAGATCGGCGAATAAAGGGGAGATTCGACATACTGAGAATGAAAGCGAGAATCAGTTTCGGTTGGTGGAACATCGAGTCACCATTGCGACTCAATAGCTCCACGAAGAGCTTTCCTTTTCGGTTTGATTTTTTTTTTTCATTTGTGAATCTCCTAATCATGTTGTACATTATTATGGGAAAAAGGAGATCTCATCTCGCTGCCACAAGCTAGAATTTCGAACCTAGGGTTTACCTCTAGTAAGAACGACTTAGTTCCCTAACTCATGGATCCTATTTTCGAACTATTTGATTGCTCTATTAATCAATTTTAAAAAGATAGGGTTCAAGAGTTCATCGGATCTTGTTAAACAACACTTTGTTTTCATAACTTAAATTCTAGATCTTCTCTAGTTCGGTCTTTTAGGTTTATTTTAGCCCATGTTTGTAAAGTTTAAGTTAAATCTCACCCTGATTTATCAATCTCATAGACATCTAAGAGTTACAAGATTCTAATTAGTTACTTAATTTAGTTTCTCTAATTGTCTTGATATGTTGATGATTTTTTGAAAATGAATCAGCACTGTGAACATGAATTTGGAGATACTGTAAGTAGAAATTTATGATTTTCAAGTGGCATAATATCATTTGAATGGATGGAATGTAATTAAAATGCAAATACATACCATCCTACTCCTTTCTTCCCCCTCCCGTCATTTGTTTCCTTGTGCGTTCATACTTCACCTCTCATTCTCGTTCTAATATCGATTAAAAAGCCCCTGCTTCTTGACTCACATTTGCGTATAAACCAGCAGACCCTAGTTCCAGACGCGCGTAACTTCGAACGACTCGTCTGAAAAAAAATTGGTGCGACACGAGGATTTCCCAGGAGGTCAACCATCCGAGTACTAATCTCGCCCAAGCACACTTAACTGCGGAGTTCTGATGGGATCCGGGGCTTTAGT